GACCACAGGTTCGAGACCAGCCTGAGCAACTTAGTGAGACCTCATCTCTATAGTAAATCAAAAAATTAGCTGGGCATGGTAGCCCACGCCTGTAGTTCCAGCTACTTGGAAGGCTGAGGCGGAAGGATCACCCGATCCCAGCAGGTCAACGCTCCGGGTGACTGTGAGCGTGCTGAGTGTGCCACTACACTCCAGCCTGGGCAACGGAGTGAGACTCCAACTCAAGAAAAAAAAAATTCCACACTCATGAATTGGAAGAATCAATAATATCAAGATGTCCATCCTACCCAAGGTGATCTACAGATTTAATGAAATACCCATCAAATAACTAACATCATTTTTCTCAGACCTGGAAACCATAATACAGAAATTCACATGGAAACAATAAAGTAACAAATCCATTAAAAAGTGGGCAAAAGGCATGAACAAACAATGCTTTTCTTTCCTTTTTTTTTCTATCTTTCTACTCTCACAGCAGTTAGCATTACATATTGTAAATCATCATGCCTACCTAGCCATCGTTTTATGTATATCTTCTTGGATAATCCTATTTAAATAACAATTCTTCTATAGTTTCTCTGTACTTCAATTCCTGAGTCCTACTGATCTCTATGTCATTAGGAGCAGATATGATCTAGAGAACAGATATGCTTACCTCCCAATTCATGATCTTGTGTACTGCAACATATTGCATGTGTCTAATCCATTTTTGTTAAAACATATGGGCTTTAAAATTCATGTTTTATCATTCACCCATTAGGATTTTTTCACATGATTCTAAAGCCTACTAAAATATGCTCTTACAAAATGTATTCCTTATTGATTTTTTTATTTTTCCAGAAATACTGTTTTCCAGAATACTGTTACTATCTAGTTATGAACAATTTTAAAATTTATATTATTGACACATTTGTGTCTTTAAATAAATGTGTCACAAACTTGAGAAATGAAGTAAATAGAAAATCTTTGGTAAGATAATTTGCTCCAGGTGGAAAGAACTCTGAAAAACGGATCTAGAATTGTTCAAAGGAAGTGTGAGTTTTTATTTTTTTTATTTTTGAGCTGGAGTCTCACTCTGTCACCCAGACTGGAGTGCAGTGGCCGCTCCCGGCCACCGCAGCCTCGATCCGCTGGGCTCCAGCGATCCTTCCGCCTCAGCCTTCCGAGTAGCCGGAATTACAGGCACACGCTACCACGCCTGGCTGATTTTTTGATTTATTGTAGAGATGAGGTCTCGCTGCCCAGGCGGGTCATCGAACCCGCGGACTCAGGCAATCCCCTCACCTCAGCCTCCCAAAGGCGTGGGATGACGGGCTGAGCCACCAAGCCCGGCAACTACTTCTTAAAACCGTGTTTGCAATGACATCCAAGATATAATACCATAGTTCTTTCTTTTTCTGCCTATTTTCTTCTTCTCTGTTTCATACATTCACTGATTCACCTTCTTCCTCAGATTTCCTATAGTACACATTCCTAAAGATCTCATCCTTCACTGAGCAGCCATGGATTGAGTGTTTAATTTGAACCAGTTTCTTGTTTGGCTCTATTATTAGAGATTGATTTTCTAAGGTTCTGGCAGGGTTGGCAGTATAATTCTCATAACCACTATCTTCACCTGCTGCTTAGATACTAAACTTCGTCCACAGGTGCCCAATCTGTCTCCATCTGAAACATCCTCACCTGAGGACAGAAATGATGCTAATTCTGAAAGGAAACTAGGGATTCTACTGTCATCTGAGAATTTAACAAATACAAATCAGTGGGCTTCATTTCAGTATTATTGGGTTTCAAAGTGTTTAAGACGCACACAGTGGGTGATACTTTTACCAAAAAAACAAAGAAATAGAATTCTTTCCATTTATTAAAACTATCTAATAAATATTTATTTAATACCTTTGTGCCAAAAGTATGCTAAGCACTGAAAGTACAGAGGTAAATGTTATACTTTCCAAATTCATGCATATATATCACAAATGTATCAAATATTATACAAACTGACACATGCATATATATATATTTGCACATAAAAAATAAATCTTTAAGAGATTAAAAGATCAGTCAAAGCTCCCATAACCTCTACCTTCTAATCTAATACCTTTGGCACTGCAATATTATGCAATATCATAACAATTTTCAGAACTTAAAGCAGATATTTATTTCTGAATCAGGATCATTACAGTATGATACGTATAAACTTTCTTATTATAGACAACAATATTGTAATGTTTTATTTCATACCTACACAATAGTACTCGACAGTAACACAACTTGATTGCAATTAAATATGATAGGCATTGTAACACTGAAGTAAAAATTACAGGCTTTGGGAAAAGCAACTAAGAAATAATATTACAAGTTTAAACCAAATTTTATAATTTTCTTTATCTGTCTTCATAGGTCACTTATTTATCCTCCTCCCTGCCACCTTCCCTTACATCTTTACTGAATCTGCTACCACTAGTCTGTGAGTGCCTTCACGGAAAATGTCCAACACAATGCTTTCTACTAACAGACATTAAATCAATATTGACTGAGTAAATTCATGAACAATAAATTGGCTCTTAAACTTGAGTCTCTATGAAATCCATTCTGAATAGTGTTATGTTTGTTACTGTGTATGACTATAATATTTACTGAGTATAATTAATTCAGCTGGTAAAAGCAGTTGATGTGTTGAATGCCAAAAACTAAAAAAATATGAGGAGTCATCTGAGCTCATTCAAACAATTCCCCTTTCCTCAGAAATGTCTCCAGCTAAATGCCTCTACATTGTGTAACTGCATTTTTAAAATGTAAAAACAAAACCAATGAAAACGAATGAACACATTAAAAAGTATCATTAATAGAAATACTGAGAGTTCTTAAAGAAGAAGGAAAATAGAACCAAAATAAATAAAGAAAAGCACTAAAGGTAGAATACATTCAAACAAACGGTTACATGAAATCAATAATATAATATTTGGAAATATGTAAAATGTATGTATCATTAAAAGTATATTGAAAAATATGCCCAAAGATATGAAAAGAAAAAAAATTAAAGTATTCTAAATTTCTAACATTTTTCTAAAAGTGGAATAATTCATAAATTGTTTCAAACTGTAACAGTCACACATATATGATGTAACATTTAGGCAATAACTAAAACATTAATAAAAATATTATAAATATAATAAAAACACGAATATGGTGTAATGTTTAGATGATAACTAAAACAATAATAAAAGACAAGAAAATCTAATAGATGGGATATTAAATAATAAAAATGTATAATTATTAGAAAAGTAAGAAAATTCTTGAAACAATAAAAATCCTAGCATATTAAGAAAAAAGAACTTTCGTATATATAACCTATATCTTAAATCTCAACAACATAAGAATAAACGAACATGGCAAATAAATACATAAAAGGTGTTCAATGTCATTAGAATATGTAAATCACGACCACAGCGACATGATGCCACTGCACATCTATCACAGTGGTTAAATAAAAGATCGTGGCAGCACTGAATGCTAGCAGAGATGGGGAGAAACTGTCTTCGTCATACATTGGTGATGAAAATGTACAATTACACAATCACTCTGGAAAACAATTTAGCTGTTCTTTGAAAGAGTAAACATGTTATTATCTTAAAACCAATTGCACACTTGAATATTTTCCTAAATAAATAAAAAATGTACGTTCCCACAAATATTTATATACAAATATGCATATCATCTTTGTTTAGAAAACCAAAAAATGGAAACTAAGATAGAGAGGTGGGATCTCATAAAACTGAAACGCTTTTGCACAATTAAAATAACCATGAAGAGAGTAGAGACAACCAACAGAATGGGGGGGAAATGTGCAAGTTATGCATCTGACAAAGGCCTAACACCCAAGCTCTACAAGGAACTCAAATGAACTAATAGGAAAAAAACAAACAACCCCATTAAAAAGTGAGCAAAGGACATGAGCAGACACTTCTCAAAAGATGATATACAAGCAGCCACCAGACAAATGAAAAACTGCTCAGCCTCATTAATCATCAGAGAAACACAAATCAAAATTACAATGAGACACTACCTAACTCCAGTAAGAATGGCTGTCATTAATAAGTCAAAAAACAACAGGTACTGGTGCAACTGCAGAGAAAAGGGAATGCTTTTGCACTGTTGTTGAGAATCTAAGCTAGTTCAACCTCTACAGAAAGCAATGTGGTGATATCTAAAAGAACTAAAAATTGTTCTCCCATAGGATACAGCAACCCCTCTCCTGGGAATATATCCAGAGGAACAAAAATTGCTGTACCAAAAAGACACCTGCACATGCATGTTTATTACTGCACCATTCACAATAGCAAAAATGGGACCAACCCTGTTGCCCATTGAAAATGGACTGGATAAAGAAAATATGGTACGTGCACATGATGGTTATCCATAAAAAATGAAATCATGGCTTTCATAACAACTTGGATGCAGTTGGAGACCATCATACTAAGTGAACTATCACAGAAACAAAGAATTGAAAACTGTATGTTCTCACTCATAAATGGGCCCTAAACACCAGTCACATGGGCACAAGGGTGGGATCAGCAGTTGCTAGGCACTGCTAAAGGTGGGACAGAGGGAGGGGGAAGGGGGGAATATGGAAACACAGAGGGTGCCTGGTCCATTACCATGGGGAATAAGTGCCAGCTTAGAAGCCCAAACTTCATCTTCATGTCACCGACTTATATAGTAAATCCTCACTTGTACCCCACAACTCTGAAATAAATATATTAAAAGCAAAGAATACTGATGCCATGACAAGGAGTTAGTCATCAAGTCGGAGTTTTAATTGGTGTTTTTAATCACCAGAACAATAGATGTCTGTTATATTATTCTTTTAAAGATCTTCTTTTTGCTATCAAACACATGCTAAAATAAGAATCAGAAGGTAGGCTGCATTGTGGTAAAAGACTGATGGAAAGTTCTCTTTTTCAATCAGCAAAAAAAACCAGAACTCAGAATCGTGGACTTACCGACTCAAATCTGTCCCAGGCACATACTGAGAGAAACGCGAATGAAGCAGAGGGATCAGTCTGAGGTCGCACCATCGCTTCTCCCATCTCAAGCCTGGAGATGTTGGCCACGAAGAACATGACAACGTGTCCTGAAAAGAATTCAAACCTTCAGAATCGTTTTTAAACTTTTGTTTTCTCCTGTGTTTCGAGTTCTTCGGTCACAGACTTTTTCACTTGGGGCATATGGTTTTTTTCTACTAAAGAGTCAAAAGATGTGTAGAGAGTACCATAAGAAGAAACCCATACCTGGGTAAGAAGATTGTATTTGTTCACTTATTTATTCATGGAATACGGCAATGAAAAAGGAATAATTGAGATGAGGAATGTGAGTGAAAACATTTAAAGATGGGCTGGGGAGAAGAAGGAAAAATATAAAAGTGTGACAGAATCGAATGTAATCAAGAATGGAAAAAAAAATGGAGCAAAACTGTAACTACATCCAATAAGTGACAAAAACAAAAGTAAGCTGTGGTCATTCAGTTAGTCAATGTTTTCTGAGTGTTAAGCACCATGATAAGTGCTAAGACTAAGCACCATTATGAGTGAATTTATCAGCTACTTGCAAATATTTTTGCATAACCAGAAAACTCATGTAAAACCACTTTCAGAATACTGCTCAAAGATGGCTTTGCTTTGCTCATTGCTCATAAAAAGTTTACATTTTCTTGCTTTAATGTCATGTCAAGGCAAATACTGCTGGTACAAAATTACACATATTTTAAGTTTTGTTTGAAGTTTTTTTCATATAGAGAGAAGATTATATTTAAACACAAATGGAGGTTTTTGCTTGGTGTCAAAGTATGCTTCTTTCCTTATTTCAGAGTCATTGTTTAAAGGTCTCATGGCACTAACATACCAAATGTTCATATTTAAGTTGCCCTGGGTTGTAAGTGAGTGATGATATTAGAAGGAGATTCTATTTTAGTATAGATGTGGGATCCATGTTAGTCTAATTATTATTAAGTGTCACATTCAGGTATTAATTTCTTTTAACACGATTAAGGGGAAAAAACATTATTTTCACTAAGGGCTGTGTGTCGCTTGGCATCATTATGCTAATGGCCCCAGACGGTGTAAATAAAAATGTATGAAGTTTAGAATACCTGGAAGAGCAGACTGGCTAAGATAGTACAGTGAGGGGAACTGTCAGGGACCGAGTGAGCCCCTCAGGTTCTATTGAGTGATGCGGGGTCAATTCTTCATGTCACGTCTAAGTGTTCAACACGTAACGTGGGTTAAGTCAGGTGCCAGTACAACAAGATGGTGAGAGTTCAATCTTTGAATCAGAATCAGACCACTTAAGTTGGAATGCCACATGCCCAACTGACTAGCCCATTAACTTAGGGGCACGCTGTTTAAAGTGTCTACCTTACTGTGTCTACCTTCAAAGTGAAGATAATAATAACAACTGGGATGATTATAAAAAGAAGCCAATGAAGAAGTGCTTAGAATATAAGCCAGCTAAATGTCTTTGTGCTATTTTCAATATCTTTAACAGGCTAATGGCAATTTTGCATTTATTCATAGCAGCAGGCTGATTAGAAGCATTGCTTAGTAGCTGTGAACAAAAAAATAGCAAATAGTTGTTCTCAAAAAATAATAAGCTTGAATAATGGGCAAAATTATTTCTAAACATGAGGCTTCCAGGAGGGACATTCTTACTTGTACTAGCAATAATGTTACATGCTATTACTGCTCCTAGTAATATTAATATTAGCTACCTATACCTAGTGTTTCATGTATATTACCTAAACTCCTTGTAATGTCTTTGAAAGCCAAAGCTGTTACTATGCTCAACCTACCGAGGTCTCCATTTTTTTAAGAAGCAGTTTATCATTGCTTTCTATGCTTTCTTCATGATGACACAGAAGGAAGCTACTAGTCTGTGTAGGAGACCTGGGTAAACAGACCAAGTTTCTGTGGTCAAGTCATAGCTGACCACACATGTTGGCATAAACCGAAACCCACTCCCAGACCCTCCAGGTGCACACATACACTCCTGAGAAATTATACAGTAAATAATTTTCCCAAGTCACCCAGCCAGCAAACAACAGCACCAGAATTCACTCATACCAACACCTCTCTGATTCCAAAGCCAACACACCTATCATAACAAAACATTTAACACTCATAATCAGAGGTCAAGTAATGGAAAAAAATAGTTCCAAATTTCTACTTGATTACTTCACACATTTGTTATATACCTTTAGGAATAAATGTTGCATACATTTTCTCATTTTTGTAATAGATAATATTACTTTCACATTTTGTGTTCCATAAAGAAACAGGATGTAAAATATAAAATATCATAAGAGACATAGGCAATGAAATTTTAAAGACAACAGTAATCACTGATAAGTGAGTATGATAAGGTTTACAAGTCAGACGGATAGATTTCATAGATTGGCAGATATGAAAATATGTGACCTTGGACATGTCTTTGTTGTGGCTTCTCAGCTTGATGCCTTTATGTACCTAAGTTATACATATATGATACTTATGTTTCCTCATAAGAAATAAATCTCACTTCAGTAATTCGACTAATCAGGATGATGTCGACTTGTTACTTATAGGGAAATACCTACTACTCTTTAAAGAATTTTTATCACTTCTCATTTTAATTATGCAAATAAAATATTAATTTTCTTTCCAGGCTTTTTTTAGATTAGCATTCAAGAGTTATTTTGAATTGTATGTACAGTAATATAAAAACAATCATTTTTATGTTTTTCAGAACCGGTACAATTTTTCAAGGGCTTTACTCTAAATATCAAAATGTGGTTTCTAATATGTCACTAATGTAAATAGAAAAAGATCCACTTACATAATTCTTGCTTCAAAGTAAACTCTTTTCTAAAATCTTAGCACATGCCACGCCTTAAGAACAACCATCTTACCAAAATAAAATTGCTTCAAGGCAAAGTACTGTTTCAAATTTGTTAAGGACTTGGCATAGAAAGTATTCCTTAAAGGTGTACAGTTAACAAAAACGTTTCTCAGGTCTGGTTAGCTGATTAGCTGAATCAGGACCTTCTGATGAAGTCATGACTGATGTCTTTACTCCACCTCTAGTGAGAAGAATTTCAGTAGGTCTGGGCTGAGACTCATGAGTCCATGAGTCCATGAGTTGGAAAAACGAGTAATTTTTATGCCCTAAAACTGATGCCTTCGTGTGCTTAAAAGGACTTGATTACATTTTTTATTTAGGATGATGGAGTGATAGTAATATGTTATAAACCTTTATTTTTCCCTTTTACTTAAAATGCTGCCATAAAATATAATAAATATGCTTAATAAAACTAGAATAGTATCTACTTACCCAAAATTTGTTTCAGGGCAAAGCATAGGAATTAAAAAGGGAGTTTCTAGGCCAAGGATAGAACTGAGGATTGAGACACACACATCAGAGAATCAAAATGTTTCTTTTAAGTGGATTGATTGTATCCATAGTATGCAAACATGCTGTGGAAAATTTGTTTCACAATGCACACTTCCTTCCAAGTTTCCACCATCAGCTGTTACTTTATGAAGAGTCAGAAGAAAACTTCTTTGATTGTTTCTAATTTTGTAAATCTCTGAGTAGAGATGTTCTTCCTGTCTACTCAAGCCTCAAAGTTCATTCAAGACACAGAAGAGAAAATACAGAACAGCACTGAGTGTACAAGTCTGTGTGATATGATTGCAATTGAAGATTAATGTTACCATATGGACAGCTTAGTTCACATTTAGATTGTAAGTTTCTCAACTTTTGTTAAATTCAATTTAATCAGATGTTCAGTCTCCACAGATCTTGTCTTTGATATTAGAATGCTGCTGTCTAGAGTTCTTTATTCTACTTACATGATAGTTAACTTTATGCATTTGTCTGTAGATTTGCGTTTTATATTTTGTGGAACAGAAACAATAATTTTTTTTTTTTTTTTGAGTTGGAGTCTCACTCTATCACCCAGACCGGGGTGCAGTGGCCGCTCCCTGCCACTGCAGCCTCGACCTGTGGGGCTCCGGCGATCCTTCCGCCTCAGCCTTCCAAGTAGCTGGAACTACATGCGCGCGCTACCACGCCTGGCTAATTTTTGATTTATTGTAGAGATGAGGTCTCGCCAACTTGCCCAGACAGGTCTCGATCCTGAGGCTCAGGCAATCCACTCACCTCAGCCTCCCAAAGATGTGGGATTACAGGCTGAGCCAGTAAGCCTGGCCAGAAACAATAATTGCTTTCCAGAATATCTAGAAGAGTGTTTCCACAGAGTAGGTCTCAGCAATATATATATGCATTAACATTTTCTTTATTTTGAATATAATTTATTTGAGTTTACATATGTTTTGATACTTATTCTCCATAACATCATGATAAATACCTTTAATTTTACTGCATGAAAGTATGTTCAGCAATGTAAAAGGAATGTTCAATTCTAAAGCTAAAATGAAAAGAAAATGCGCCTCTTGGAAGTAGAAAGATGTCACTCCAGCAAGAAAAAACAATTACAAGAATTGATGTTTTGAATTTTATATGATTGGATTTATTTGGAACAGTCATGTTAGAGATTTGATTGATTTTCTGGCTCTAATTATAGCTTTCTGAAGAAAGGCACCCATAAATTTTTTATTTGTGTGACCACGGAATGAGTTAAAAGCAAACCAGAATGATAGAATGGTACCTACCATTAGACCTTCCACTCTGACTTCTCTCTTCTCGTTATTACAGAAGAGTTTAAGGTTATGGGGCAAGAACTAGAATAAGATATTTCCACACAGCTTTCCTCCACACTAAAGTAAAGCAGCTCTTGTTTCTTTCTTAGGAGCAGAGCTGAAATGGAGATTCTTGTTTGAGTAACATGTGGAATTGAAATTCTCAAGAGAAAGCTGTGAGGACGGAGGGAAGTAGAAAATGTGGTGGCCAACACCCTGACTAAAGGTGTGGGTTCCTGAAAGAAAGGCCTCCAGCTTATCTGCAGAGGTCTTGGAGGAAGCGTGTCTTAGTCCTCCTATCACTGAGACACAAATGGAATAGGCAACCGAGAGCCCTGGCTCCCAGGCAAAGAGGATCCTAACATGAAGGGTTAGTTGTGGATGGGGCAGACAACACTCACAGAGCAGCTGGGGCAGGCATACTCGCCTGATGAAAGGAAATGAAAGGGTACTGAAAGTATCTCAGGCATCTGGATTGGATGAGAAGAAGGTAGGCGATGCAATTATAAAAGTAAAAGACAAAAAATCTGATCAGAGATTGCAAGAAGTCTGTAGAGTTGGGAAGGGAGCTGATGGAAGTGCACATGTACAAATATTCATTTCCTCAAACGGTAGCCAATGTTTTAAGTCACTCAGATCTTGCCACCTTCTGAAGATCAGTGTTTTAAATGTTATCTATTGTGTGACAATTCATTCTTTGGCAAGAAAAACTGAAAAGAAGGCCAGAGGAAATATATCCAGATGTGGTTGGTTTTAGAAAATATCCTTGCATTTGTACAGATAATCTTTGATCTTGCCAGATGTTTCTGTTCATAAAAAAAAATAGACAAGTTGAGGAGGTAAAACACTCGGCTAAGCAATAATACTGGGGCAATTCAGAGTAATTCAGGCCTGAAGCTGTTAAAAAAAGAGTACTTCAACCGGGCTCGGTGGCTCAGCCTGTAATCCGGTGCCTTTGGGAGGCTGAGGTGAGTGGATTGCCTGAGCCCGCGGGTTCGAGACCCGCCTGGGCAGCGAGACCTCATCTCTACAATAAATCAAAAAATCAAGCCGGGCCTGGTGGTGCGTGCCTGTAATTCCGGCTACTTGGAAGGCTGAGGCGGAAGGATCACCGGAGCCCAGCAGGTCGAGGCTGCGGTGGCCGGGAGCGGCCACTGCACTCCAGTCTGGGCGACAGAGTGAGACTCCAACTCAAAAAAAAAAAAAAAAAAAAAAAAGAGTACTTCGAGGTAAAATGCTATAGTTTGGACAAAAATTTTAAATGCAGGATAAATCATACAAGTCAAAGAAAGAGATTATATGACTTATTGTCCTAATATGAGGAATACAAAAATAAAATTCTGTTTAAGGTCAGCTCTGTCACTCTTTATGCTTGTGAGTACAAAAGATATTTGTTAGATCTGTATATAACCAGAGAGAAATGCTTTGTCTTTAGAATATGTGAGCACTTTGAAGAGTGAAATATTTTAAAAAGTCAAAAATGTTTATAAAAGAACCAAATCTATTTACATGAAAATATAAGTAGAGAATAAAAGTTAACATTTTATTAAATGTCTGTAAAACAAACATGTTAGTTTCCTATTTTATTAAATGCATGTATAGTTTGACATTCATTATATTTAAAAATAATGTATAAATTTGGGTTTTTGCAGTAATTTCCTAGTATGCATAATTACTGCTAAGAAATTCTAGCAAATGGCAAATGAAGTAGTTACTATTAGCTAAGTTGTTTAAAAAGAAAATAAAGAAACTAATGTCAAATCATTAGGAACATGAAATCACATATAATATGGAATGTTCTCGAATGATTGTATGATGTTATACACAACCTTCCCCAGTGATACTATCAATAGTATAACTTGGGGTGTTATACTAACTAAGAAAGAACTTAATATGTACAGACCTGTGAGAAGAAAAATAATATTAAAAAATACCTGACTTATTTTTTTTATTTCTAGATTATCATAATACTCAAATGATTAAGCAACCAAGTATTTCTCATCTATCAGAAAATTCTGATTTAATAGCAGTATTTGCAAACTATAAATAATGTCTATTTATTATTGGGTTTTTTAGTGCTATCTCTCGTTAATCTCTTCTTAATCTGAGCTATGCCTGGGTCATCTTACTGTATTGTTGGGGTGGTAGTTGAGATGTAAGCCACTGTCACAAAGAGGAGAGGAGGTGCCACTGCTCTGGTCACTTGGAGCACCTGCAGGAAACAGAATACAACACCCCATTGGTGAAAATTCCAAACTCATCCAGACAGAAATATTCCACGTTAAAATTTCAAGTATGCCCAATAATAGCAAGTAAATCAGGTACTAAAATAAACTTTTATTTCACTTATACTAAAGCCAAACTTTTGCAAGTAAGCCAAGTGACGACATGAACTGGGGCACAAAAATAGATTCACAAGTGTTTACTTTTGATTTCAGAAACATTAAGACTATATTTTAAAAAAAATACAGCCTCACATGAAGTATTAATTTGTTGTCTAAAATGCACTACATCTGGAAACCATGCTTATAGTAATGCAATATTTTATCCACAAAGTTTCATTTAATGTCATGTTTCCACTAACTGGCAAATTTTATCTTTAGAAACCATAATTCTTAGTTTGTATTTAATATACATTGAAGAGCTCTAATTTTGTAACAATACAATGACAAAACTTCATATTAGATGCTAACTAGAAACCCAGTAGCTTCTATTTTTAAAAGATAAACATAGTGAGTCTTAAAAATTTTTAATTTTCTAAGATTCCACAATCTAGTAATCATTAGAGTCAGGATTAAAATACATATTTCTTTATTTGTGATTGTTTGCTTTTTCTAAAGAATTTTTTTGGAGTTGCTAATGTTGATAAATAAGATCTATAAATATAATTGACTCCCAATTAACATTTACAATTGTATAATTAAATTCAAACATCATAGGTCATAGGAAACACTGCTAACATAATAATCCATGTTCTCCAAACAAAATTTTGGTATTTTCATTACTCTACAATGTTGTAGTTTTCCTGATACTGAGGTCAGATCATGAGCTTTCTTACTATACTAGTCTGGACATAATTTTTATATTCTTTAAACAGTAAGAACTTCATACTTTGTTTTAGCTAGTTTTCTTAAGAGGCTTATTTGTATTTCTTTAGTCTAAAATATTTTAATACACATACATTACTTTAGAGTACATTCATTTTGAATTGATTAGAATGAAAATACAACATAAAAATATCTATGAATAAATCCTAGAGCAGTCATTTAAGAGATATTTAAATATATACACCAAAAAAAGGTGGGTATGAACTCAGTCATCTATACTTGCATCTTAAGAAGTTAAGAATGGAAGAGCAAATTAAATCAAAATAAATAAAAGAAAAAATAAAATTAAAAATGGAACAATATGACCTAGAAAACAGACAATAACAAATAAAATTAATCAAGACAAATATGAGATCCTTGAAAAAATTGATAAATAGATAAACTCATAGCAAACATTATCTTTAAAAAAGAAAAATTCAATAAAAATTATCAATATCAGGAACAAAGAAAGGGTAATTACTGACAGCTAACAAATATTTAAAAGGATAATGAAAATATGGTGATGCAATCGGTCAGAGAATGTGAGTCCATGTATAAACGAGCGTGTGCAGGCAGAATTTGCATGCAAGTGTTTCAGCAAGTGGCTGTGGGAGTGTTTGAGTGGGGATGCAGGAGCAAGTGGCTCAGCTCTCCTGCTGAGGCAGCTGCTCCATGTGGCTACTCAGATCTCAGTCTGATCCACAGCCCAAAGGTAGGCACCATCTCTTTGACCCTATCCAGAAGAAAATGGTGAAAAATACCCGCTGCTGGTGTTGCCTGCCACCACAGCCTCTGATGCCAGATGGACATTGGCAGCGGGGGCCATGTTGAAAATATACCAGAAGAACTACTCGCTGAGTTCCAAAGGAGGACAAGATGCAGAGATGAATCTGCCACACCAGTCCTGGTGACTGGGTAGAGACAGGCTTCAGCCTGCCCACACGAACAGCAAAGCAACTCCCTGAAACTGAGGGGTGAATTCAGCACCTCTCTGAGGTTGATTACTGCCAACCCAAAGAGATACCCCAGGTAAGTATTCTTAGAGGTACAGACCCAATTAGGAGAGCTAGGGTCCCTGTCCTCCTAACTGAAACACCTGTAGGTCTAACAGCTGCAAACAGAGATGAAGAACCCATCCCACAGAAGATAGTGGGGCTGAGTTTTAAACTGGCCCAGCTCCATTTTCCCAGTGATTCGTGAGATGTATTACCCAGGCAGAAAGCATCCTGATCAGCACACGTGGAGAGGCCTGAACACAGGTAGACCAGTTGGGGGTGGTTTGTAGCCTCCTCCTGACCACACAGTGAGCAGGGGATCAGATCTAGTGGTCAGAGGCCTTGTCCCCAGCCCCAAGCCAAGAGCAGCAGTGCTTGGGTCATGCCAATTAGGAACCTGAAGTTTCAAAAACTACCACAGGAGAGGATCAAGGATTACAAAAGGTTTTGGGTTTTTTTTTTCTCTCTCTCTCTCTTTTCCTGCTCTCCTTATACATTTTGTTCAGAGGGTGTGTGTTTCATTTCACTTTACTTCTTCTTTTTTTCACTTAACAGTATATATGAGTGTGAAAATGTCCTCATACTGTGGGTTTTAATTTAGGTTTTTTTTTTCTTTTTTACTGGTTTATTTCTCTGTTTCTTCTCTTTTTTGTTCTATTCAGTGTCCTTTCTTCTTTCTTCTGTCTTTCCCAGTTCCTTTCCTTTTCTTTATGTTATTTTATATCCAGGAATTATACATATATTCTCCTTGCATGACCATACTGTGAGGAGATGGGAAATGGATCACAGGGGATCCACATCCCAATCAGTGAATGTTGAAATCTGTAGGCAGCTTTTGAATCTTAGCAACCCCACAACGCACTTTATTTACATCTCAAAGCTGCAAAAGAACAGCACAGCTTCTTACCCCAAACTTGGTTTCAAAATCACACAAATCCAGAGGCTTTACCAAAGGAAGATTGTGGGTTGAGCAAAAAGAATTGAAAACTATTCTTTCTCTCACTAAGAATCAGAAGTAAAGAGAAAATGAATATCTCACAAATGAAGAAAAATCAATGAAAAATACAAGTACCCCACAAAGTCATAAAGGATAATGCACAAGAATAAAGACTTCAGAACTCAAACAGTGAAGAGCACCCAGATTGACTAGTCTCAGACCACAAATGCAGAGATCAAGGAATGGTTGGAAAAGATGAATAAGGACCAAGAAAAGCAAGACAGTAATTACAGAGATACAAAGAATACAGTCAATTAAATAAATAATAAATTTGTGGAAAGCAAAATTACCATGCAAAAAAAAAAAAAATCTCAGAGTCTGAAGAACAAAATATGAAACTAACTCGATCTGCAAACAAACAAACAAACAAAAACTTAAAAAGATTGAACAAAGCCTTCAAGAGATGTGTGATTATATTAAGAGACCAAACTTATGCCTGATTGGTATCCCAGAAACAGAAAAAAAGAATGAGAGCACACAGGAACAAACATTCCATGAAGTCATATAGGAAAACTTCCTGTATCTCATCAGAGACATGATGACCCAAACACCAGGGATTCAGAGAACCTGTGCAAGGCATCAAATGAGAAGACCAACTCAAAAACACAGAGTAATTTGATTACACAAAGTAGAAAAAAAAAAAGAAAAAATCCTAAAGGCAGTGAGAGAAAGGTCAGACTACCTACAGGGGAAAACCAATTAGAATAGCAGCAGACTTGCTATAGAAACACTACAGGAAAAGAATGGCATCCAATCTTCAAAGTTCTCAAAGATAAATAATCCCAACCATGAATTTCTTACTCAGGTAAGCCAAGACTCATCAGTGATGGAGAATCAAAATCCTTCACAGAATTAAAATCCTAAGAGTTTACACTCCCTCCAGATAAGCTTGACAAGAGATGCTTAAAAAGGCATTAAGGAAAGATGAAAGAAAAAAAGAATGATCACACTTTCCAAGAATGCAGGAAAACAGAGAATCAACACAGCATGCACTGTGACTGCAAAATTGAAACCACACTTATATATCAACCCAAAAAACAACAACAAAAAAGAAAAAAATAGACAAACAACAACAAAGAATACTATAAGAACCTCATGACAGGGATAAACTCTCACATCTCAATAATTAGCCTGAATGTGAATGGACTACATGAACCACTGTAAAGACACAGAATGGCAAACTGGAAAAAAAAAGGACCCAGCAATATGTTGCCTCCAAGAAACACATCACACCACAAAAGACTCTCATGGACTCAGTTAGAGAATGGAAAATAAACTTTCAGGCAAACAGGACACAAAAGGAAACAGACGTAGTAATCTTAATATCAGACAAAACAACATTCATGCAATCAAAAATTTAAAAAGGTTCAAAAGGACACTACACAATGACAAAAGTTTCAATTCATCAGCAAGAAATATACATCCCAAACATATATGCACCCAACTCAGGAGTCCAGTTTTTATAAAGCAGCTACTAAGTTAATGTAAAAAAGATATTGACTCTAACGCTATTATGGTTGGGGACTTTAATATCCCACTGACAACCCTAGATAGATCATCAAGACAATTGACCACATCCTTGGCCATAGTCAAGCACATACAAATCTCATAAAATCAAAATATTGCCATGAACTGTCTCAGATCACAGTGGAATGAAAATAGATATTAACACCAACAAAATTTCCCCCAAACCCACAAAAACATGGACACTAAACAGCATGATGCTGAATAATTCCTGTGTCAATACAGAAGTCAAAACAGAAATTAAAAGATTCCTGGAAACAAATGAAAATGAATAAATAGCTTACCAAACTTCTGGGATGTTATGAAATCAGTACTAAAAAGGGCATTTATGACTCTGTGAACATACATCAAGAACATAGAAAGAGAAGACCAACTCAAAAACACATAGTAATTTGATTAAACAACAGTCTAACAAATCATCTAAGGGAGCTGGAAAGACAAGACCACCAAAACCCTAACTTCAGCAAAATAATCCTGATCACCAAAGAAAAACCCAAATATGGGACACAGAAGACAAAAATAAATAACTCAAAAAACAACAGATGCTGGAAAGGATGCAACAAAAAGGAAACACTTCTACACTGTTGGTGGGGGTATAAACTAGTACAGCCTCTGTGGAAAACAGTGTGGCAATTCCTAAAAGATCTAAAAATTGACCGTTCATACAATCCAATCCACCTACTAGTAATATGCCCAGAGGAACAAAAATCACTCTGTGAAAAAGAAACCTGTACACGTATGTTTACTGCAGCATTGTTCACAATAGCAAGAACATGGAACCAACTTTGTTGCCCATCAAAAAAGGACTGGATAAAAAAAAAGTGGTACATATACACAATGGAATATTACACAGCCATAAAGGACAAAATCATGAGCTTCATAGCAACCTGAATGGACTTAGAATCTGTAATACTGAGCGATCTATCACAGAAAGAAAGAACTGAGTATCACACATTCTCACTCATAAGTGGATGTTGAACTATCATCATAATACTATAAGAAAAGGGTTGGCAGTGGCAAGAAACTGTCGGGCAGGGGGATGCGGGATTGGCAGTACTGGAAATCTGCTTGGGGGGGCACACCTCATCAACAAGGGTACCTGCATAATGAACATTTGTATGCCTACCTTAATTGTACCCCCATCTTTAAAATTTAAAAAATTAAAGGAAAAAAAAATCAATGAAACAAAAAGCTAACTCTGAAAGCATGAACAAGATTGATGAATCCCTAGCTAGACTGACCAAGAATCTTGACCAAGCTAGATCGACCAAGAATTTTTGTGACCAAAAACACACAATCAGAAATGCAAAAGATCAAGTCACAAGTGACCTTAAAGAAATATAAGCTGGGTTCGGTGGCTCAGCCTGTAATCCCGCGCTTTGGGAGACTGAGGTGAGTGGATTGCCTGAGTCCACGGGTTTGAGACCCGCCTGGCAGCGAGACCTCATCTCTACAATAAATCCAAAAATTAGCCAGGCGTGGTAGCATGCGCCTGTAATTCCGGCTACTCGGAAGGCTGAGGCGGAAGGATTGCCGGAGCCCAGCAGGTCGAGGCTGTGGTGGCCGGGAGCGGCTGCTGCCTTCCAGTCTGGGTGACAGAGTGAGACTCCAACTCAAAAGAAAAAAAAAAAGAAATACAAAAGACTATCAAAGATTATTATGGACAACTATGTGGAAACAAATTTGAAAACCGAAATGAAACGGAGGACTTTCTGACATCACACAACATACCAAGGCTGAAACAAGAAGAAGCTGAGACTTTAAATGGACCAATAACAACCCAGGAAATTGACTCCAACATAAAAAATAATAATAATAAGCCAGATGGCTTTCCTGAGGAATTCTACAAAACACGTAAGGAGGAGTTGATACCAAACCAACTGCAAGGGTTCCACGCAATTGAGAAAGATGAAACTCTCCCCAGATCATTTTATGAAGTTAGCATCACATTCATAGCCACACCGGGAAAAGATCCAACAAAGAAAGAAAACTACAGAACAATGTATCTAATGAACTTAGATGTAAAAATTCTCAACAAGAGTCCAGCAAATTGGATTCAATAACACATCTCAAAAACCAGCCGCCATGACCTAGTAGGCTTCATTGCCAGGATACAGAGCTGGTTCATCATCTGCAAGACCATAAATGTAATTAAATACATCAACGGATGTGTAAACAAGAGACACGTGATTTTATCATTAGACACAGAAAAAGCTTTTGGTAAAATCCAGTATCCTTTCTTGATAAAAACCCATGAACATCTAAGCATAGAGGGAATATACCTCAAAATAGTAAGAGCCATCTACGATAAACCCACAGCCAACCTATTGCTAAACAAACAGAAATTAGAAGCATTTCCCATGAAAATAGGACTAAGCCAAGGCTGTCCACTCTTACTCCTCTTGTTCAACACAGTGCTGGAAGTCCTAGCTAGAGTGGCCAGAACAGAGACGAAAATCTGGGATATCTAAATAGAAAAAGAGGAAGTTAAGTCATCCCTGTTTGCTGACAATGTAAATCTATACCTTGAAAACTCAAGTAAATCTGACAAAAACCTCCTTGCACTGATAAAGAACTTCGGCAAAGTCTCAGAGTACAAAATAAATGTTCAAAAGGCAGTCACATCCTTATCCACCAACAAAAACAAGCAGAGAACCAAATAAAAAGCACAATTCCATTCACTATAGCCAGAAAAAAATGAGATATCTTGGCATCTTCCTAACCAGAGAGGTGGAAGATTTTTACAATGAAAATTGTAAAACATTGCCCAAAGAAATCAAAGACCCAAACACACCAAAATATGTTCCATGATCATGGATTGGAAGAATCAATATTGTTAAGATGTCTATCCTACCAAAGGCAAATACAGACTCAACACAATACCCATTAAATTCCCAGAACCATTCTTCTCAGACCTGTAAACAACAATTCAGAAATTCATATGGAAACATAAAAGACCATGAATAGCCAAAACAATCCTCAGCAAAAGAAACAAAGAGGGAGGTATCACACTTCTAGACTTTAAACTGTTATAAGACTACAATAAGCAAAACAGCCTAGTATTGGTACAAGAACAGGCATCGAGATCAATGAAAGAATAGATTCTCGAAGCAAAACCTCAATTTCTCAACCAACTCATCTTTGACAAAGCCTCCACAACAACCACTGGAGATAGGAGAACCTATTTAGTAAATGGTGCTGGGAAAAACTGGCTGACTACGTGCAGAAGAATCAAACAGGACCTCTACCTATCACAATACAAAAAACAAAGTCTAAATGGATCAAATACTTCAATGTAAAACCTTGAACTATAGGAATCTTAGGAAATGCAGGAGGCACCCTTATGGAAATTGGAATAGGCAACCAATCCCTGATTAAAATCCCAAATGTCCATGCCGTAAGAGTTAAGATAGACAAGGGGGACCTCATCCAACTAAAAAGCTTCTGCAAAGCAAAAGAAGCCATCACGCGTGTGGAGACAACCCATAAAATTGGAAAAAGTGATTGCCAAATGCATATCTGACAAAGACTTAACATCCAGGACCTGCAAGAACTCAAGTGTGCTACAAGGAAAAAGAAAAAGCCTCATTAAAAAGTGGGCCAGGGGACTTCCGGCAAAATGGCGAAGGAGCAGGTAGATCTGTAAGACTCTCTGGGAAAGGGAGTGACCGTAGGGACTCTTGCTCTCCCCTGGTGCCTCTTGCCCCGCCACTGCTAGCCTGCTCTTTGGTCAGTTGCACAGGTCTCAGGGTTGGCAGCAAAAGGCCTGCATACAGCTCCGTTCGCCACTGCAGCCACCACCGCCGCCGCTGCCACTGGCCACATTGGCCTGTGGGCTGGAGGCCCTCAGGTCCATACACTGCACTGCTGGCTTAGTCGACGCCACTGCTGCTTCCTCCTGCAATCGCTGCTCTGCCCGGATTGGTTTGAGATTGCTGGCCGTGGAGTTCTTCCCGCTGCTGCTGCTGTTCCTTCCCGTGGCCACTCCCTCCCCCTGCCCAAGGCAGCCCGCAATTCCCGGTCCAGGGACCTCCGGGCTCCCATGCTTCCTACATAGCTCCACCCAGCACGAGTCACCCACTGCCACATGGACCTGCAGCTCCTGGCTGTCCCACACTCCGCTTTCCCCAGTTTGGCCCAGTGGGTGGGTCGGATAACAGTTAGCCCTGCGACCACACAGAGACTGCATTGACCCACCAGCACACTGGCTCTGCCTAGTTCCGCCAGCCTCCAGTTTGAGATCTAAGGTAATAAAATCAAACTGGGAGAGACTGAAAGCCCTCTCCCCTGCTAGATTAGACACAGGTCAGATTTGAATGGCAGACTTCTCAGACAGCAAGCTGACAGAGCTTAGATCTGATCAAACCTTCTCCCACAGTGGGCCTGGGGCCTCAGATCCTAGCAGTGAATAACCCTACCAGGCTTCCCACCCTCCGATCCCGGGGGTGAGATCCACAGTGGGCTCTCTACTCTCCAAACTCCGGCAGCGAGACCACCACGGATCCCGCACCCTCTGAACCCGGGCGGCACACCCACGACGCCCCACCTGCCTCCGATCCCGGCGGCGAGGCCGGCCGCTGTGGTAGAACCTGCTGGATACATGAAGCAAATATGAATGGGAAACCATGGAGCCATACATTATGTTTTCCAAAGGTACTTTTATATTAATCTTATAATTCCTTTCAGCTACCACTAATTTTGAAGAAGAAATAGAGAAACAAATTACTTCTCAAACCTGCAAACCTTTCCTTAAGTCTTAGACAAGTTATTAGGTTTATTAGAAAGCTAAAGAATCTTAGACAATTTGGTTAAGCTATTAAAAGGACATAAAATACTTCTGTTTGTTGAAAATACAATAAATTCCCATAGCGTTTCACTACTCTGTCCAAGAAAGTCAAGGATTTCATAAGACAGTGGTTGTCAACTTTGTATCCTATACTCACCTCAGTGAGTGGGACACTGACTCTAGCATTTTTAAAAGCTTCCTTGGTATTTCCATTCTGTGTACAACATTAACAACCACAAAGAACTTTTAAAAGTGTGGTCTCTGCTCATTGAGTTTCCAGCAGCCATTGAAAAATTCTTCTCGCTGAGACAGGGCAAGATGGTGACGGCATAGGTGAACTGGTGAGATTCTCTGAACGTGAGTTCCCAAAAAGGCTATCACTTCGCTACCCCCATCCCCCAGCCCACCACCAACCGCGCTGGGGTCAGGCCCAGGAACTTCAGTCCCACGCAAGGCCAGATATTGCACCCCTCCCCCCACTGCTGCCATTCTACTCGTGTGTGGAAGTCTCCGGTCCCAGCCCCCTCCAGATCCCTCGGCTGCATTGTCTCCAGTCCGGGCACCTGGCATCAAGCCGCTGGTCACACAGGGAGGCTCTGGGCACCCGCCCTTCAGAGACGCTGGTTCCATTTCTGGCTGAAGTCCTCTGTAGGGTCCCAGCGCCACTCTCGCTGTTTAGAGCCTGCCCTCTGGAACTTTGGAGCTCTGGAACTCCGGGTCCACCCTGGCTGAGGCACTCAGCGTGAGACCCCAAACCAGAGGACCCAGACAAGCGGCGAAAAAAAGATCTGCTTAAACTGCCTCGCCATTCTCCAGGCAGAGACTTACATTGCCCTGCCCACCTATCAACAAACTTTACCTCATTTCCTAAGGCCAGGTATTGCAGCATGCGGGGAAG